TCGTCCTCTGGGGGGGGGTGGGGGGGGGCGAGGGGAGAGAGGGGCCCTCTGCTTAGTCACTTGTAGGAGGCTAGTTGACGGACTTGTCTATGAGTGGCTTATAGTATTCTACTGCCTCCTCCCTCCTGCTGACGGTGGCTTGGGAGGCAGCCTATAAGGGAGGCTGAACTCGGGAGGCTGAATGTATTAGGGTTTGTGGAGGTTGAGGTAACGAAGAGAGGATGGATAGGTGGCTAGGCACCAGTATAATGGGTATTCAATTAGATAGTGTTGCAGGAATACCTATACACCCGACAATTACGTTAAGTGCATTGTTGTATAGTGTGCCTGTGTACTACAAGGAGGGGGTTACGTGTAATAGACATAAAGGAGCTAATATATATTTAATATTTGCTTAGATGGAGCAAATTAAACTAAATAGTAAAAAGAGGAAAAAAATAAAATTAGATGATAATAAAAGAAAATAAGATATAAAATTTAATGATTTATTCTTCTTCTTGGCGGCGGCGGTGCTCGCGTGTATCGGGCCGCAAGGAATTCAGGTGTATGTACACATCATTATACACTAGAAAATGTGAATAAATAAATTCCTTAAACACTTTCTGTTTATTTAATTAAATAAATATAATTTAAATATATTTATACGGATATTTTCTTTCCTTCGGGACTACGTCTTCGCGCTTCCCTCCTTCCATTAAGCGCTGCTGCAGCTGCAGCCCCGTTCGGGTGTATACACAGCTCATTCCTCGTTGGATTCTGTGGTGATTCTTTGTGATTAAATGCTTTTATAGACATTAAATAAGGAAAAAAGAAGAAAAATAAATAATTAACATCCATAGAACCAATAGAATAGCGCCTTCCACCTCCCCACTCGATTTTGTATCGACCCTCACCGCCTTATTGAGGTGTACGTACACCCCAATATATCTTATAAATATGCATCTCTATCGGATGGCTACGCGTTTGAGGGGGGCCCCTCGCGCGGTGGCTGCTCGAGTTGGGCACAGGGGTCCCCTCCGCAGCGGATGCAGCAGCAGCAGCAACAGCAGCAGTAACTGCTGTAATAAAACTAACAGCCCTTTTGCAGGGGGGGTTGCCTTCCCTATAAATCGCAAAACCCTAAACCCTCAAACCCTAAACCCTAGATCTGCGGTGTCTTCTTCTTTTAGTTCTTCTTCCTTGCGGGGTCTCGTGGGGGTTAATATGCGGTTCCCTACTGCAGCAGAAGCAGCAGCAGCAGCTGCTGCTGCTCCATCAGGGTATCGTTTCCTCAGCAGCAGCAGCAGCAGCACCTCTGCTGCAATGAACAGCAGCAGCAGCAGCAGCTCCCCTGATGCAGCAGGAGAAACAGCAACAGAAGGCAGCGGTGTTCCTACAGGAGACAGAAAGGATCGAGACTTGCAAGAAGAAATAAACAGCGAAGAAGATGATGAGATAGAAGACCCTGAACAAGTAGATATTAGGGTTTAGGGTTTAGGGTTTAGGGTTTGAAGTTGTGTGGGGGCGTTGAGCACGGGTCGAATTCTTTGATTTTCACCTTTTTTTGAGGGTTTAGGGTTTAGGGTTTAGGGTTTAGGGTTTGTGGTGTTGGGGTGTACGTACAGCTGCGAGCACAACTTGCTGCTGCTCGTGAGGTAGCAAAGGGTTTAGAGGAAAGTAATGCAGAATTAAAAGATAAATTATTGCGGTGTTTAGCTGAACAAGAAAATGCAAGGGTTCGATACTCTAAGGAGGTACCTATAAACCCTAAACCCTAAACCCTAAACACTAATTTATATGCGCAAATGCGCAAACCCTAAACCCTAGATCGAGGAAGGGAATAAGGGTTATAAACACTAGGTGTATAAGTAATAAACACTTTAATTTGTTTATGGAGGGGAGAGGAGAGTCATAAACAATTCAGGAGAGGGGCGTGAAACCCGCCTGAAGTAGGGTTTAGGGTTTAGGGTTTAGGGTTTGGGTGTTCAGGTTGCTTCGGCTCGGGATTACGCCATCTCGGGTTTTGCGAAGGCGTTGTTAGATGTTGGTGATTCGCTAACGCATGCAAGACAGCAGCTGCAGCAGCAGCTAGAGAAGCAGCAGCAGCAGCAGCAGCAGCAGCAGCAGCAACCGCAGCAGCAGGGTTTGGATCAGCTAAAGCAATTTGTTGATGGTATTTCTTTGACGGATAATCTCTTCCATAAAACCCTAGAAAGATTCGGGGTTGAACAATATGATCCTGTAAGTCTAGGGTTTAGGGTTTAGGGTTTAGGGTTTAGGGTTTGCCGGCGTCTCCATATGCGCTCTTTTCGGAGGACAATTAGGGTTTAGGGTTTAGGGTTTACAGATGTTGTTTGCATAAATTGAGTGTTTGTCCACATGCACACGGGATTGGAGGTTGGAGCTAGGGTTTAGGGTTTAGGGTTTAGGGTTTACGTTGTGGGGTTTGCAGATGGGCGAAAAATTCGATCCAGCTCTTCATGAGGCCCTCTTTGAGATGGACGGACCCAGCGATGTACGCAAACCCTAAACCCTAAACCCTAAACCCTAGGCACCGTACTAGTAACCCTAGACCCTAGACTCGATCATAAACACTGCATGAAACCCTAAACCCTCAAGGCAAATGTCAGTGTTAAAAAGGGTTCGGCGGTTCTACCAAATCAGATCTTGGTTAAGGGTTTAGGGTTTAGGGTTTAGGGTTTAGGGTTTGTGTTTGTTGCAGAAGAAAGGAAAGGTTGCACAGGTAGTACAGAGAGGGTACAGAATAAAAGATAGAATTCTCCGAGCAGCAAAAGTTGGCGTCGTCAAACCCTAATTTAGGGTTTGGGGGTAACGGCTTTGGCTTCATTCCTATGCACAGGAGCTGCAGCAGATACTGCAGCAGCAGCAGCAACAACAACAACAAACGTAGCAGCAGCAGCACTAGCAACAGCAGCAGCAACAGCAGCTGTACACGGATGGGCAATTGCCGATCCTAGAAGCACAAACTTAATTTTTTTCTGCATGCATGCATTTTTTCATGCATGCATTGTTGTCGCATGCATGCACTATTGTTGCATGCATGCACTGTTGCTGCATGCACACACTGTTGTTGCATGCATGCACTATTTTTGCATGCATGCACTATTTTTGCATGCATGGATTGTTGTTGCATGCACCCATCGTTTAATTTATAAACTCTTCTCCTTTACGGGAGCCACTGGCCAAGCTTTTTCTTCCGCATTTCTTGCTTGCGTTTTACCGTTGCTGCTGCATGCATGCATGCATGCATGCATGCATGCATGTAGGCACAAATGCATGCAGTCACGGGTGCATGCATGCATGCACTCATTGAGTAGATAGTTGAATTAGGAGCAATTTATTGCTTCCTGTGCAGATAGGAAGGAGCTGCCAGTGAGGGTGCAGCAGCAGCAGCCTCAGGGGTTTAATTCCTCTTAAGGAATACATGTACTATTATTCTTTTTTCCTTAAGATATTTATTTAATTAAAAATAAAATAAACGACAACGGCAGGATTCGAACCTACGCGGGCAGAACCCAATGCCTTAGCAGGGCACCGCCTTAACCACTCGGCCACGTTGCCGAGCGACACCTGCCTATACACCCCAAGATATGGGGCTGTTGCAACATTATACATTCATATTGCCTAGCGTCGCACCGCATGCATGCATGCAATGCATGAATGCATGAATATATGCAGCAGTTTGAACCAAGGTTAGTCTTGCTGTATACGCATTTGCTCAGCTGGAGGTCGCTAGCTAGCTGAGGGCTCTATAGCTAGTCAACCTTCCTACAACAGACCTACAGGGCCTCCTTAGCTATGGCCTATTAGAAGGTCCTTAATGTGTTGGTTTAGTTAATTACCTGGCAGTATTCAAGGTATTACCCTCAAAGGAACAACGCCACTCAGCTAAGCAACCAAAGAACAAACAAACGTAAGGAACACAGAAGGCGATAAGGGGAACCTCCAGGTTACCGCGTAGCTAGCAGTAGGGCAATGAGCCAAGAAAAGGTGACAACCCCTCCTGCAGATCCGCCTTGATTTATTCTTGCCCTCGTTATATAACACTAGATAATAAGGATATTAGGAGTCTCGTGATACGGCGAAGAGCTGTAATGCTCATGGCTATTCATTTTATAGATTTTTCTGAGGTTACCTGCCTATACAGTACACAGGGGTAATTATTATTAGCTACTTTATTAGCTTACAGTGCTCAATTGATGCAAAAGATGGATCTTGCCATGATAAGATGGGAATTCTCTGTTAGACACTCAGAACATTCACCACGGCATAATACCTCAGCATGCTGTAGATGTGACACAATAGAGGGGTTGCATGCAGTCACAACAAGAATCTGTTGCTGTTTATATGCCGGGACGCATTGCTCTAGTGGACCTAGCATCTCTCCCTACATCAACTGTATCCTACACCGGGAGAGGGGGAAAGCGAGCATGCAACGAAGAAAAGAGCGAGGCAAGACTCCAACGCAGCTCATGTATGCTGTAGAGAAGATGCATGCAGTCTGGCGGTTCCAAGCCCGTATTGAATCTAGGTAGAACAAAACGACAACGGCAGGATTCCAACCTACGCGGGCAGAACCCAATGCCTTAGCAGGGCACCGCCTTAACCACTCGGCCACGTTGCCGGGGGGGTGTCGCTGACCCTCCAACTGTAGTCCATCAATCCTACACACAAGTTAGCATTTCCTCCACATCAGTGGTCATCTTCAAACTCGCCTTGTCGACCGGTCAGGCACACAAGGAGGTGTTCCGCTTGTTGGAGAGGGGCAAGACAAATGCAGCATTGGCTATGCGAACTTCATACATGTGTTTTTACTCACGGGCTGCTTACCCACCAAGTGGCAAGTTGAGCTGCTACAGTGTTCGTGAATGGAGTAGAGCGAATGTTATCTTGTTTACATGCCGGGTTGTCTAGTAGACCCAGATGCAGCACGCTTGTCGAAAACATATCTCAGGTCGCCTCCTCTATAGCCAGACCCGATCGCTGAGCAGACAGAACGCCTAAGCACTGGATGGAAGGTAAGCTGCTTCTGCCTTTTCAAAAAATATCATTACACACTGATGCGTAGGAGTTCGACGTGAAATATGTCGAAGATACTCTAGATATTCCAATTCAAATTTTTGCCATATATTCTGCCTTTTTTCCCTGGACTGACCACAATAGGCCTTCCTGCACGGGAGGTAACCAACTGATGTTCGCCTCAAAACATGGAAACACATGAGGAATACGCATAGCAGTCAGCCGAAAGATCCTTCACAAAACAAGCAGTACATTAAGAGTGCCTCCGCCTGCGCTGACCGTCCCAATATGATGGCTGCTAAGACGCGGGCACAGTGGCGTAGTTCCTCTCCATGCTGGTGATTCACATTCGTCTTGAAAATGATGCCTGATTGAAGAGTGTTAGACTTAGTTCCCCTTACCATTCTCTTAACTAGTGGATGCAGCACGACCATGCAAATGCTGTCGGAGAACGAACGGTTCCCGGCATGGGCTCCAATTAAGATTTAGGAGCAGGTAGATGACAGACACATGTGAATGGAAGAAAACGACAACGGCAGGATTCGAACCTACGCGGGCAGAACCCAATGCCTTAGCAGGGCACCGCCTTAACCACTCGGCCACGTTGCCGGGGGGCAGCCGCTGATCCCCACACGTATAGGCCACCAGTCCAATAGCAAGTGCAGTAGATGCGCTCTTGCTTCTCATGCTGGTCTGACTGTCTCCGCCTGTGCTGACCGTCCCGATATGATGGCTGCTGAGACGCGGGCACAGTGGAGTAGTTCCTATCCATGCTGGTGATTCAGATGCGGCTTCAAAATGATGACCGACTGAAGAGTGTTAGAGTTAGTTTCGCTTTCCACTCCATTACTCGAGGAGGAAACACATTGTGGGGAACGTGCAAGTCGTCCGTTTGAGTATGAACGGTTTTTGGCCGGTGCTGCAATTAATACTTACGGACACCTAGATGACAGGCAAATGAAAATAGAAGAAAACGACAACGGCAGGATTCGAACCTACGCGGGCAGAACCCAATGCCTTAGCAGGGCACCGCCTTAACCACTCGGCCACGTTGCCGGGGGGCGGCAGGTGACCCACCAAATATATAGGCCGTCAGTGCTGTAGCAAGTGCAGTAGAAGTGCTCTTCTTCATCTTGCTTGTCGGACAGCCTCCGCCTTTGCTGTCCGTCCCGATGTAACAGGTACTGAGACCCTAGCGCGGTGGAGTAGTTCCTGTCCATGCTGGTTATTAATATTCGTCTTCAAAATGATACTCGATTGAATAATGCTGGTGTGGGTTGTCATTCGCTTTATTAGTGGAGGAAACACACTGTGGGGACTGCGCAAGAGGTCCGTTGGAGTATGAACGGCTTTCGGCATGCGCTGCAAGTAAAACTTAGGAACACCTCGATGATAGGCACATGTAAATAGGAGAAACGACAACGGCAGGATTCGAACCTACGCGGGCAGAACCCAATGCCTTAGCAGGGCACCGCCTTAACCACTCGGCCACATTGCCGGGGGCCAGCGGCTGATTGTCCCCAATATACGCCATCAGTTCTGTAACAAGCGCAGTACAAGGGCTCTTCCTCGTCTTGCTGGTCTGACCGCCTTTGCCTGAGGTCGCCTCCCCGATATAATGGGTGCTGAGACACTAGAACGGTGGGGCAGTTTCTCTCCATGCTGGTTATTAATATTCGTCTTCAAAATGATACTCGATTGAACAGTGTTGGTTTGGGATGCCACTCCCTTTATTAGTGGAAGAACCACACTGCGGTGACCGTGTCCCTTGTGTGTCGGAGTACGAAACGTTTCCGGCATGCGCTGCAATTAAGACTCAGTAAGAAAACGACAACGGCAGGATTCGAACCTACGCGGGCAGAACCCAATGCCTTAGCAGGGCACCGCCTTAACCACTCGGCCACGTTGCCGGGGGGCAGCCGCTGATCCCCACAAGTATAGGCCACCAGTCCTGTAGCAAGTGCAGTAGATGCGCTCTCCCTCATCTTGCTGGTCTGACTGCCTCCGCCTGTGCTGACCGTCGCGATATAATGGGAGCTGAGACACTAGCGCGGTGGTGTAGTTCCTGTCAATTCTGGTTATTCAGATGCGTCTTCAAAATGATACTCGATTGAACAGTGTTGGTTTGAGATGTCACTCCCTTTATTAGTGGAGGAAGCACACTGTGGTGATCGTGTCACTGGTGTGTCGGAGTACGAAACGTTTCCGGCATGCGCTGCAATTAAGATTTAGCAAGGAAACGACAACGGCAGGATGTAAATAGAGGAAAACGACAACGGCAGGATTCGAACCTACGCGGGCAGAACCCAATGCCTTAGCAGGGCACCGCCTTAACCACTCGGCCACGTTGCCACACAGGCCCTGGCAAACCTGAAGCTGTAGCTTCTCAAACTTAGATACTAATGAGCTTCTCTGTGCAGTTCAGTCTTGGAACTCCACCACACACACGTGTCGTTTGGTGTTCCAGATTCACCGTGTAAGACATCGAAGGTAGGATCTGAAATGCTTTGCAATCAGCTACACAGATCCGTACGCAATGCTAAAATACAGGACTCAAACGGTGCTCTGTAGCTCAGGAAGAAAACACAATTGCATAAAAAGCCCCTTAACGCAGAATCTCTAGAGCATGCGCACTCCCGCGACTGGCAAAACTGGTAGCAGAAACCTGGTTCGACCTCCCACGGCTACACCGTTGGACGAGCGAGTGCGCGGCGGATAGGTGGCGAACGACCTATTTAGATGCCGCTTCGCTGAGGCTGGGGCCAATTATATTTCTTGTGTGATCTGCGTTCTTTCCTCCTCATGTTGTTAGCTTGCCGCCCTGCTGACGCTTGGCAAGCCTGCGGTTAACGAATCTCATCAGTATTAGCGGAAGACTGTACTGAGCAGCAGCAGAGTCGCGGGCGGTAGCAGGCTGCCCTTTTTCCAGGCTTCACACGTCTCGTTCATACCAGCACAAAGGCCTGGGGCTGTGGCGGCAAGGAGGAACCCTTCTATGAAATGCAGCACCCTTAGCTTCAACCCCTTCTTCGAGTCAACCCCACATTCAGCCATATCCAAAGTTCCCCTCTGGTGAATGCAGCAACGCTGGATTTAGTGGTTAAACACTTGACCGGTACTCGGTGTCCACCCAGAACGCAAGTAAAAGTACACAAAACATGTTGGCAAATGAGTCTGCATCACTACAGCGTTGAATGTCTAGTGCTGCTAGCTGCAGTTAAGCCAGCCTACGCACTACTTCCGTGGAGAGGTTTAGATAAATCAAAATCCCATGTCTCCCACTTCTTGTGGCATATTTATTACTTAATTTATTATATATTAAATGTAAAATTATTGTATATGTTTGGTTCTGGTTCCCTAGGCGATTCGCGGTAACACTGGAGGGCCCACCGCTACCCCCCTTCTGTCTTCTTCTAGGGCCACGCATGCAGGGCCCCTATTCCTAGGCTTTAAGCGTGAGTGTTTATTTATAGGCTATTATAATTGTGATTTCTGAGACAAAAGGCGTTTGTCTAGAGAGCATCAGCAGCAGCTGCTGCCCTCCATTCACTAGGAGGCACTGGTCTACAGGGCCAGGAGCCTATGTAAGGTTGAAGGTTTATTCTGACGGTGTCGAGCGTCTGCTGCTTTCCTTCTTCTTCTGATCGCCTTGACCCGCCAACATGAATCCCATCGGAAGGTCAGCAGCACACACAGCAACTTTGTCATGTCATGCAGAGCAACGGTACCAGCAGCAGGAGGAGCAGCAGTGACGGCGGCTGTTGCTGATGCAGCAGTTGCTGCGACAGCAGTAGTCTTTAGGCACACGAGTGGGGAGCAGCAGCTGCATCGTCTGCTTTTTGCCTCTATTGCTGCGGGGATATATGAGGCTCGGCTGCTTGCTCCCCTTACGGTTGAACAACTTGGCAGTGGAAACCCTAACTAACACCTCCCCTGCAACCCTTGGGTGTGTGCATGCAGGCCGTGTGGGGGAGTTCTGCAGTCGTTTTCTCGAAGATTTTCGAGTTGGAGTAGATTGGGTCAATTCGTTGATGCATCGAATCAGGCTGCATGGGGGGTAATAAAACAAACAGATCAACAAATTAACAATACATGCAAACGTGTAGAAGAAGATAAACAAAAGAGGAAGACCATAGACTGGGCCTACTGGGAAAAAGAAATTGCACACAAAGATCTCGTAAAATGGTCAGCACCGCATCCGGGGCTCAGGGTTGTTCTTGTGGTGTCTGGCGTTGATGGTTTAGTGTCTAGGGTTTAGAGGGAATTAGGTCTTGTCAGCATGAATTGTGTTAAGGGTTTAGTGTTTTAGTGTCAGTATTCCAAGGGTTTGGGGTTGACGGTTTACGGTTTCTACTGCAGGGCGAACACGAGCGTTGCAGCGGATTGTTTTGCGTTATAGGGTTAGCAGACTTGTCTTAGCGTGAATCCACCGGTGTCTAGGGTTTAGGACTCTCTTGGTGTATTAGGGTTTAGGGTTTAGGGCTTGCGTATGTATATGTGTGAATCAGCCTGCGCGCCCACTACGAGCAACAGGAGCGTCTGTTTGGGCGTTTATTGTCTTCGAGTGCATTGGAAGAAAAGAAGAAGAAAATTGCAAGCAAAGAATCAAGTGAATTAAGTTGGAGTTTATTGGATAGTGCAATTGCTAGTTGTGTAGAATCCGTCAAAAAATCGGAAGAAATCATCAATAAAGGAGCAGCAGCTCTTTGGATTTCTTATCATAATCCACCTCTTTCTGCCCTTAATACAAATGAGGTTCGTCTCGGTCTTAAGAGGGCTTGATGCTCGCGCCTCTGTTCGTTTCCTTTCTTGTTTCTTTTGCCATTAGGGTTTCTTTTCCCCTATATTCCTTGTTTGATGCTTTTCTTCTTTTCTGGGTTGCGGTTGTGAATCTCTTTGTTTGTTTCCTAGCCTGACTTTTTTTTCTGGTGGTTTTCTTGTTGCTCTTTTTCTGTCTGCTTGTATTCTTGCTGCACCAATTGCTGATGTTGCGGCTGTTGCTGTTGCTGCTGCAGTGGTTGGATACAGACTTGTATTGGCAGGCGTTTGTGGAAAAACATTTCTTCTATTCACAATACCAGCCAGGAGTAGATGACCCTGAAAGCCCAGTAAGCACAAGCAGCAGCTGTTCTTGTTGCAGCAGCAGGAACACGAGGGCCATATCCTGCTACAGGAGCGGCAGCAGCAGGTTCTCCTTCAGCAAGCCAAGCAGCAGCAGCAGCAGCGTGGTTTGTGTGTATATGGGTGCGTGTCCGTGTGTATGTGTGTATATTTGAAGGCTGTCGTTGAAGAGGCGCGGAAAGATTGGCACAAACGTATGGGCAAGTTCAATGACCGTTCAGATACCCCTCTTCTTTACAACTTTATGGACACTCTTCCTTCGTGGGAGTACTACGATATACACAGGCAAGTGACGCGTCTGGTGTCTGCTGCTGTCATTAGTTTTCTTCTTTCTTATTTCTGCTGTCCTCTGCTGTTGCTGCACATTATTCATGTTGCTGGCATCTGCTGGCTTGCTCCCTTCTGTCCTTGGTTATTGTCTCCCCGTTATCCCTCACCCTGTGCTCTGTCAACTACCGCTATGCTATTCACGTTGAGATTCAACTCCTCCCTTCTCCGGATGCTTTTCATGCGTTATTCATTTCTTTGCTTGAATTATTTGTTCAGAAAGGCCTTTATTGAGCACATGATGTATTATTTAATTCGCACTGGCGGTGATTACCGTTTCTTCCCCGAGATGTTGCCGTGGCAGTGGCTGGGGGATATTGAGGACCAGCGCTACAGGTTCTTGTCTGTGGTACAACTCTACACTGTAGCTCTCCCTTTACAGCTCTTTTATCCCTCTCCTTCGCAAAGTTTCCATTGCCTGATATAAATACAGGGGCGAATGGCTTCTGCTGAGGCGGGTTCAACTGCCTACGAGGATGTATACCTCTCGTGTTTTTATTGCTGTGCCAGCCCATCATGTTGTTTTTTTTGTGCTGTCTTCTTTATCTCCTTCCGCAGGCACAGCGGCGGCGCTCCACGTTCCAGGAGGCGTCGCTTGCCCGAGAAAAGGCTCTCGATTTGCTGCCGTTGGATATGGAGCACGACTTGGACAACCACCTCATGAAGCACTTCACAGACGAAGCAGCTTATGTATCGGCTGCTGTTGGGCGCCTCATGGCTTCGTACAGCTTCTTGTGCCACCCATTCATACCATGCTCCTCCCTGCGCTCAGCCATCACTGTCATGAAGATAGACAACGCAAAAGGCAAATGGTATTCACTAGGAGACGACGTCAGCGCCCTCTTCTACCTCCCACACCCAGAGGCCAGAGACCCCCCTCGCCCCAAAGCCGCCCTTAACCGCATCATGGTGGGTAGATGCACCTCACGGAGATCAGCACGGCACTACTGCACACAGCAGCCTCGATAGTTACCGTAAAGTTCTGTACACATGCTGCAGCAATGATGGGGGGGAAAGGAACTGTGTGCGTTGGGAGGAAGGCCAAGTGGAGGGAAATCCAATCGTCGTCATTCTGGCGATTTAACTGCCTGCGCCACTGTGTATTTACCTCATACATTAGCCGGTTGTGCTGCAGTTGCAATGCGGAGATCCCTCTACACCACAGCGGTGGCATTTCCTTTGTTGTATGCTCACAGGACCACCTGACGATGACGGGCCAACGATTTAATCCCGCATATGCGGCTGTATTCGACTCGTTTGCTGATATCCTTGAACAGAGAGGAGAGCACTGGTGAGTTGTAACTCCTTCAGTTCTCACGTCCTGTTCTTGTCCCCAGGCTCCCTGTTGCGTATTCGCCTTCGGTTTCTTTTCGTGTGAAATTCGTGCTAGATTCGTTTCTTGTTCACTGCATCTGTTCATCTTGTTGCAACTGTTTTGTCATTTGCCACCCTTGTTACAAGTTTTGCAGCGAAGGACAAGGTATTAGTGCTTCTTTTCCGTTTTCTGTTTTGTTGACTTGGTCAGGTTCTGCGCTGAAGGGGAGTGCGCCTCCCAGGCATTTTTGCGGCGGCTCCGTACAGACGATCCTCAGCGAGAGGTATTTGAACAGTATTTCGAGGAAATGTACAGCCGCTTCAGTTCGGCAGAAGAGGTGAAGCCACAAGATTTCGTAAAATTGATGCAGGAGAAGGAAAAAGCACACAAAGCCGAGGTAGACGTCTACAGCCACTGGGTTCTGGCCACCAGGGGAGATTCGGCCAAAGAAGAAGCCGACAACATTATTTCTCTTTTCAACGGTAAACAACTCCAGCCTCTTCTTGACAACAACAGTATCGTCGTATTCAATGAAGAGGGACAAAAAGTTAAGGACCCGCATCTACTCGTCGCCTCCTTCCAGGCCTTCGAGAAGCTTGTAAGCACGCCGTATCACAGCGTACCGCCTAGGGTTTGGGGTTTATATTGTAGGGTTCAGGGTTAAGGATTCGGGCTTCTTGGAACCTGCTTCAGTGTTGTAGCTTTGGCATAATTGCGATTTCCTTCCTGTCTGTCTTCCTTAGCTTTCCTCTGTTGCATCTCGCCTCTTCTTCTTGATTTTGGTTCGTAGTTTTGCGCCTGCTGCTGTTATTAATCCTTGCCATAATTCCTTGTTGATTGATTTCTTCTGTCGGTGCCGCAGAAGGATACCATCCTTGATGCTGTCAAGAACGTGAAGACAGGTGGCTCGCAGCGGAAGAGCTGAGAGGCTCTCGTGATTCAGTATTATTAATGCACAAGTGTATAGCTAAGTATATAAATGATGATGTGAAGCTGGACGAGGAAAATACATCGCCAACGCAAGCCTACAGAGCGTTACCCAGAAGAGCTAACGCGGGCTATATGCGCGTTTGGCTGGAGAAGAAGTAGTAACTCCAATAAAAACAAGAGAAACAACTCCAGTTAACACATCAATGAAAGAGAAACGCGAAAAACGCGCCATTCCTTTGTTTTTCTGTCCTGGCGCAAAGACTATAAGTAAGAACTCAACGAGCACGTGGAGGGCTCAGAGTTTAATGTGAATATTTGCGATTTGAAATGTTGACTTTGACAGTTACAGTGACGTTGCAGACGAATAGTGATGGTTTAGGGCTAATGCTGCAATCTTAGGGTTCGCCGAGGGTTTGTGCACATTTATGGAGGACTAGAGTGTGGAGCCGGGTGTAGAGCTAAACTGCAGAGCTCGCGATTAGGAATAGGGGTTAAGTCGTTTATTCTAGAGTTTACGTAGAAAGGCGAAAGCCAGCGTGCTGATTTAGTGTTCGTTTTTGTGGGTGCGTTGGAGGACAACTAGGATTTAGGACACGGCTTAAAAGCCAGGTTATACAACTTCAAATAAGGCCAAATGAGAGCCCTACCAATTCGCTAGCTGCATGCATTTCCTACAGCCTACTCAGTGTGCGGCTCATGCGCAACAAGCAACAGATGGCCCAGGTACCCGGCTAGCTGGATCAGGTGTAGGGTGCGATACGCAACGGCAGATTTCCTTATCCGGCGCAATCATCGCAACCTGCCCCCAGCTACCTAAGATAGGTAGCTGCAGCTAGCTGTGCTGGTCCGCTGCGGCCTGCCATTGTGGCTAGCTGAGAAAAAGGCTGAAGAGCGATTGAAAATAACTATGCTTGGTAGCTGGAAGCAGCTACACTAGCTCGCCTCAGCTTGCTGCACAATTTCGTTGCAGCTAGCTGAACCGTCGCGGTGCATTTAGTTACGGCGGGGATAGGTAGCTAGCTCAACGGCTAGCTGGAAGGTTAACTCCAAGTACGGTAGTGGGTGGTGCCGTCCGTTAGGAGCCGGCGAAGAGGTTGGTCATTAGACCCTCGACTACCAAGGGATCGTCTGCTCCCGGCAACACATCTGTGTTGGGTACCCAAGGGATGGCTGACTGTGGCGCCCACAAAACAAACAAGCACAGGACCCTCAATAGAACCAACAGCAACAAGAAGGAAAAAGGTAACCAAGAACCAGCAGAGAGAGGAGTGCTCTCCTCTAGTTATATGATGGACAGCAGCACTTATATATAATATATATTATATATATTAATAATGCTGCTTCTGCTGCTGTGCAGCAACAACTCACCACAAAACTCTCCAGCTGAGGGATTGGCTTGTAACGAATTTTGCGGCCTTTAGAGGCGCGCCGATCGACAGTCTTGGCTGCGCACGCCACAATAAAACCCTAAACCCTCGTCCCTAATTTTTATATCCTAAACCCTAAACCCTAAACCCTAATCCTATATAACACTAGGGAGGACCAAGAGAAGGGAAGAAAAACGAACCTGCTGCCTTTCTTTTGGCTGTTAGTAACGCTGTTTCCCGCGTCAGCGTTGAGGAGCCAACTCTGCAAACCAGACACCCAAACCCTAAACCCTAAACCCTAAACCCTAAACACGAAACAACAAGGTATAACCTCTAAATTCCCCTTTATCCTTTCCTCAAGGATTAAGGGTTTGGGGTCTTTCTTTCCTTGACGGTGCTACTAATAAGAGGCAAGAGGACTACGCGTGTTACTCACTGTCCTTCTCCTGCTGCTACAGAAGCCTTAAGTAGCTCAACATAAAAGTCCTGCAGGGAGAAAATAATAAAATAAACAAAAGGAAGAAATATTAACAGTATAATTCTTAGAGAATAAATAAAAAAAGTAACAAACGTAACATTATTCAGCATGCGTTATACCCCTAAACCCTTAATAAAACCCTTCCCTTTGTCCTTATTAATGCTAAATATATATAAAAAAAAGGGGAAAAAGAATTAAATAAATTAAAAAATATTCCCTACAGTATCATCAAATATTTCATGTTGTGATTCTTTCTTTGCTTTCGTCAACTCTGCGCATGCAATAACTGAACATGAATTTTTTTTTGTTGCAATTTCTGCCTCTTTTTTATTGTTTTCTTCTCCTTTTTCTCCTATTTCCCCCTCTTTTTCCCCTTGTTCATTAACTCCTGCTGTACTCTCCCTGCTGCTGCTGCTGCTGCTGCTGCTGCTGCAATAGCCACAGATAGATATTGCCCGTCGCAGCAACTTCTCCTCTTCGCTCTCCATTGCATTCTTCAACTGTACAGACACTGGCTGATTAAAAACAGAAAAACGGCTATCCTTCTGCAAGAAAAAAACAAATAAATAAATAAATAAATAGATAAATAAATGAATAAGCGCAAATGCATGCAGGTAACCCTAAACCCTAGACCCTAAACACTAAACGTCAAGGGGTTTGTGACTCTTCCCTGCCCTCGCTCCCCGAAAAAAAGTAAGAGTATAGTAGCTAGGGTTTAGGGTTTACGACTTAGGGTTTAGGGTTTAGGGTTTAGGGTTTACCCCTGTACAGATCTGCTGATGCCAAGCATCAATGTTGGATAGACAAACAGAGCGGAGGGTTTGCGTAGGGGGCCCCACACCTAGCAGCCTCCATACATCTGTCTCCCCTCCTTGTATTTGCTGCTGTGTATATTTATCTCTTTTGTGCTGCCAGCCTCCTTCTGCTGCTGCATCTGTTGCTGCTGCAACAGTTGCTGTTGTATTACCTTTCTTTGCTGCTGCTGTGTATGCAGCAGCTAATGAGGACTGCGGTACCATTAGCTGCTGCAGCTGACGCAGCAGCACGAAGGTACGTGCTGCTTCCTTCCTTACAGAAGTAATTGCTGCTTCTGTCTCCTCCTGCTGCTGCAGCAGCAGCTGCAGCACATCTGCTGCAGGGAATCTGTTAGCAAGGCGCAGGGCTGTGTTCTCGGTAACACGGAGGCCAATTAACTTTGCATGCAGTTGGCGCTGCAGCAGCAGCTGCTCTGCCTTCTTCTTCTGCTGCTCACGCTGATCTTTGCTTTCTTTTGTTCCTAACAGCAGCAACCGCTGCCCCTTTTTCTGCTGCTGCTGCTGCAATTGCTGCTGCTGCTGCTGCACTTTACGGACACGCTGCAGCAAACCCTCATCCAGCTGAAGTCTTTTGCTCCCTCTCTTCTTTGTTTCTTCCTCCCCGCTGCTGCTGCTTGATGTTATTTCCTCATCGCTGCTCCCCTGGGTACTACCTTCGTCATCGCGGGGGGCCCCCCAATGGGCTGCCCGCTTGGGGGCCCTTTTGGGGCCCCCCGACACTCGGGCAGTCATTCCGAGGGTTTAGCCTTTAGGGTTTAGGGTTTAGGGTTTAAGGGTATATATACAGTGCCGTCTGCCTTAGATCTGTAGAGATTTGTATGGAAGAGAAGAAATGAACCTTCGATTCTTTGGGGCCTCCGGATCGAGGGTTTAGGGTTTAGGGTTTAGGGTTTAGGGTTTAGGATTTAGGGTTTAGGGTTTGGGGAGGAAAATAGAAGATCTAAGAAGCCATAGGAGAAATATTTCTTAATAGAAGGGAAGATAATTTGCAGGATCTGCTGCTGCTGTTTCTGTTGCTGCTGCTGCAGTTGCTGCTGGTAGTTGTGACTGCCCATGCTGCTGCTGCCGCTGGGCCTGCATGTGCTGCAGCAGCAATCGGTGTGCGGTGTCACTGCACCTTACAGCCTATATAAATTGAATAAACAATTAAATTTAGACATTTTATTTATTTATTTATTTTGTATTTCTTTCTAATGCAGTGAGACAAACGCAACAGCGCTCTAAGATGGAGGAGCAGCAGGAGCACCAACAACAGAATGGAGAGCAACAGCAGCAACAGCAGCAGAACCACCACACCCAGCAGCAGCATAGCAAGCAGCAGCAGCAGCAGCAAAGACCTGTCTTCCGCGTGCAGCTGCCACGGGAGCTGCTGTATAAACCCCTTATACCTGCTGCAGTAGAAGAGGCCCTGGGGCCCCCTGCTGCAGATACACCTGCGTTGTCTCTTGACGAAGCTGCTGCTAAGGCAATAGAGGCATGGATTAATCCCGCCTTTGTCTGTGTTGCTGCTCCTGCAGCAGCAGCAGCAGCAGCGGAGGAAAAAGGAAAAAGAGAGGAAACACCAGAGGACAGACGTAAGTAGAAGATATAAACCCTAACATTTAGCTGTATATACACTCCGTAATTGGATAAGTAGCAGCAGCAGCAGCAACAACAACAACACAGCAGCAGCAACAGCAACAACAGCAGCATTGGTAAATACCTTTGCCTATACCTACATATATTAATTAATTTATTCATTTATATATTTATATTTATTTATGTATTGTTGTGCTGCAGTGCTGCTGCTAGCAGCAAGACTAAGTGCCTTATTTAATTATTTTATATATAAAGAAAAAGATCCATTAGCTGTACGTACACTCGGTAGCTGTCTTCCTTCTCTTCTTCGTTCCCTTTCTTATGTTATGTCTTCCTTATTTAGAGGTAATAATTGCAGCAAAAGATTAAGACTCTCTGTTGCTGCTGCTGCTAATGCAGCAGCAGCAGCAGCAGCAGCACCTCCTGCTGGTGCTGGTGGTGGTGGTGGTGTTGCTGCTGATCCTGCTGCTGCTGCTGCTGCTGCTGCTGCAGCAGCAGCTAGCCCTCCTCCAAGCCATGTGGTGTATAGGCAGCATGCATTTGATTTTTATAAGGAATATAGGGCCTGCCTCTCAGGTGTATACGCAGGTCCCTCTCTTGTTAATAAGGGGCCCCTCCCCTTACCTGCAATTGTTGGTATAACTTTTCCTGTATTAGTCTTCCCTGCTGCTGCTGCTGCTGCTACTGCTGCTGCAGTTCCTGCAGCAGCAGCAGGAGCAGGAGTAGCAGCTAATGGTGCTGCAGTAGCATCTGCAGAGGCTGCAACAGCAGCAGCAGCAGCAGCATGTGCAGCAGCAGGAGGTGATGCTGCTGCAGCAATTACATCTCTTGCTTATGCAGAGATAAAAGAAGGGGAAGTAATATTATATGGTCCGTGCATGCATTTTCCTGTATTGGGGTGTATAGGCAGCTTAGTAAGAGGAGGAGCAGCAAGAGAATCGTATATGTGCCTAATAGAGGGATTAACAAGTCCTGAGGTGTCTGTACACCTCAAATGTGTGCTGCTGCCAGGATTAATTGCTGCAGCAGCAAAAATAAAAAAAAAAAAAGATAGATTTACTACGCAATTATGTTCCCTTATTCTTAATAAGTGTCTCCCTATTAAGAACCCAATAGCAGCAACAAGAGGGTTTGCTAGGTTGCTGCCTGCTGCAGCACAACGTGTACTTAATATTAATACTAAACTGCAGCAGCAGCAGCAGCAGCAGCAGCAGCAGCAGCAACAGCAGGTGGGGCAGCAGCAGCAGCAACAGCAGCAGCTGCAGCAGCAGTTAATTCGTGGATCTATTCCTGTATTAGGTGCAGGGGAAGATATGTCTCTTCCTTTGCGTCTGCTGCTGCTAGCGCATGCAGCAAGAGCATTAGCAGCAGCAATGGATGAGGAGCAGGAGACAGGAAAGGAGACAGAAAAGGAGACAGAAAAGGAGACAGAAAAGGAGACAAATAAGCAGCAGCAGCAGCAGCAGCAGCAGCAAGATGAGCCTCTTGTTGCTCTGCATGCGCTGCAGTCTGTTATATATAAAGCCCTAGAGTTATCTGTCCCTTTCTTACCTGATCCTTATATGTCCTCTGCTGCCCCTCCACAGCTGCAGCTGCAGCAGCAGCAGCAGCAGCAGCTGCTGCTGCAGCAGGACCCCGCCTGGCAGCAGCAGATCCTCCGCTTACTCTCCCTTCCTTATAAGAGCAACAGATGTCTCTCTCTTGCTATACAGCGTGTCTTACTGTCTCCTTTATCCCGTTCCCCTCCCTTCCGCTTCTCTGCCTCCCAGCAGCAGCAGCAGCAACAGCAGCAACAGCAGCAGCAGCAGCAGCAGCAGCAATGGACAGCAGAGGACTTATTCCTATGGACAGCAGTAGATTCTTTATGCATACAATGCTGTCTCCTTATGACGAAGGGGGAGGAGACGATTGTCTCCTCCCTGCAGCGGCTAAATGTTTGTGCTGCTCCCTCCCCTAAGCAAGGAGACATGGAGGTGGGGCCCCTTTGCTGCGCCTCTCTGGTGTATGCGCAGCTTATTTTGCTGCTAGGGGGCCCCTTCCCTATTCCTTCTCCTATTTGTGCTGCTTATAGGGCTGTATGGGCCCTTAAGGCTGCATGCATCTATATGCAGCATGCAGATGCTGCTGCTGCTGCTGCTGCTGGTGCAGGAGCAGCTAGACAGAAAGAGCAGCAGCAGCAACAGCAGCAAGCACATCTAGATGCAGCAGCAGAGGAAGCAGGCATATGGAGGGAAGCAAGGTGGCTGCTGCAGCGTAAGGCTGAGCAGCTGCTGCTGTACGGTGTCTCCTTGCTGCCTCTTGCGTCACAGCAGCAGCAGCAATTCTTCGATACACCCCATAGCTTCCCTGCTCACCCCTCGCTGCTGCTGCTGCTGCTGCTGCAGCAAATGGCAGCAGGATCTACTAGCTGCTGCAGAGCATTCATACTGCTAGCAGGCAAAGGGGTAACATTAACTCAGCAAGATGAGAGATTTATAAGTGCCTTCTCCTTAACAGACAGCAGCAGCAGCAACAGCAGCAGCAGCAGCAGCAACAACAACAGCAGCAGCAGCACAGCAGAAGATGTTGCTAACACAACCTTCCTTCAAGGAGGAGACCTCTCGCTGCTCTACAAATGTATTTGTCTAGTAAGGCTGCTGCTGCTGCTGCTGCTGTTGCTGCTGCTGCTGTTGCTGCTGCTGCTGCTGTTGTTGTTGCTGTTCCTGCTGCTGTTGTTGTTGTTGCTGTTCCTGCTGCTGCTGCTGAGGCGACGGTTAGTATACAGTATATTTATTTGTATATTTATTTATTTATTTATTTATTTATTTATTTATTTATTTATTTATTTATTTATTTGTGTATAGATGACGGGTGTATTTAATTGGCGAGCACAAACATTTTTATTTAGGAGTATTTTATCCCCTAAGGAACATCCTCTACCTGATGCTGCATGCGCTGCTGTACTTATACTATTAAAACAGAGATGGTGTCATGAGGTACTGCAGCAGCAGCAGCAGCAGCAGCAGCAGCAGCAACAGCAGCAGCAGCAGCAGCAACAGCAGCAGCAGGGACGACAGACAGCGGGGGGTGATGAAGTATCAACAGCAGAAGCATCACAAGAGAGAGCAGCATTACCAGCAGCAGATGGAGAAACAGCAGCAGCAGGAGCAGCAGCAGGAGCAGCAGCAGGAGCAGCAGCAGGAGCAACAGGAGGAGGAGGTACAGAGAATATACTAGATATAAATTTAAATATATTAACATTTGTTATTACAACTCAACTTATAAATAGACACGAGCCTATAGCTGAGGGATCAGAGAGAATCTCTTGTGTCCTTAATTGGCTTAAGCTTGTATTGCTGCCTACAAGCAGCAGCAGCAGCAGCAGCAGCAACAGCAGCAGCAGCAACAGCAACAGCAACAGCAACAGCAGCAGCAGCAACAATGAGGAAGATTTGGGTCCCTTTTATCGTATGGGTCTGCTGCTGCTGCAGCGCAACAGCCAGCAGCTGCTGGGGGCACTAGATCGTCTTGCGTCACAGATGGATGCAGAGGAGCTGCTGACGCAGCAGCAGCAGCAGCAGCAGCAGCAGCAGCACCATACACCATACCTAATGGGGGGTAAAGCCCCTACAACAGCAGATAAAATTGAATTAATTAAGCCATGTGTAGGTAATAAAAGACAAACAAATGCTGCTTGTGAGCAACGCATGCGCTTGGGGCTTGTTTGTATGGTGCTTACGGAGGTACGGGGCTTAGCACATAAGGCAATGACTAAACATAAAATTAAATCTTAATTATATAAATATAATTAATTAATTAATTAATTAATTAATTAATTATGTTTAGGTGTACGTACAGCACACCTTTTCTTTCTTTTATAACCAACAACATCCGCATAAATACGGCATTGCTGCCTCCGTCTAATTACTGCAACGCTGCATGCAAGAAATATTTACTCTTATTATCCTCTATTAGAACAAGCAAACAAAATATACACAACTTAAATAAATAATCAGCAACGGGGCTGGTAGGTAGGTAGGTAGGTAGGTAGTTACGTTGCAAGCAAGGCGTTCAGCATGCAGGAAGCTCCCCAACTATATACCGTCATTCTTCCTCTTGTTCTATTATAAATACGAGGAAACACATAACCTTCATCCCTCCCGATAGCTCTACGCTGCTGAGCTATGGCTAGCCACGGACAGCTAGCTGCAGCTAGCTGCGCATGCTGCTGCAGTAGGGTGTGCCTCATGCACGCCAGTGAATGCGCAGCTCCTTGCAGAATTTTAGGGGAAATCCCTTGTATATTAGTAAATATTTATTAATTAATTACTACTATGTTGCAAATATATAGTTTAGTATGTAGTTTATCTACTTTATTCACATTAAGGTACACGAATCACCACCGTACAAGCAAAGAAGAAACATAGGGTTCCTAAGGAGTATCCTTAATAAGACCAACGAATGGCTGACTGTACTTAGCTCTTATAGGAAAAAAATAGGGAAAAGAAGAATAAAATAAGTTGAATAGGGGTAATAAATAAAGAGGACAAAGGGGAAGAAGTATCTAGGGGAGGGAGCTCATAGACAGGAGGGGTAACACCGCTTAGTAGAACAACAACTACTTTTGCAAGACAGCAGCCCAATTTGCATGCATGCAAGAGCAAATATCCTTGGCTCTTGCTATAAACACTGTAGACAATTATTAATTATTTATTAGTGCATGCATGCAGCCTATTTATGCTGAATAAGGGCTTATTTGCCAACTAACTTAGGACATACTTACCACCAACATCGGGTAGACCTTGCTCTACGTTATATACTATGCAGGGAAGATCAAGGATAATTACTGTGTATTTATATTAAGACAGAGATTAAGGATAAAATAAGACAATGCTAAATGTTATTCGCTTTTAATATAAACAAAAAAACAAGAAAAATATTATCTTTTTTATAGACAAAAGATACAATTCTTAGATGATGGGTACCTCGCAACCTTAGATAGATAGAGGCAGCGCAGCGTTGCTGATAAAACTCTTATGTGTAAACTATTAATTAAATTTATGTTTAATTTTAATTTTAATTTATAATTATATATTTATTTATTTGTCTTCTTAATATTGGCAAATAAATATATATATACCTATGGCCGCCCCCCCACAGAGCTCGGGGGCGTTGGTCGTCCTTAGGGGCTGCGCCCGCCCATTGCGTCGTCTGGGCCTCACAGCTGTGTGGCTTCTTGTGTATGTTTTGCCAGTTCTTTCTGCATTGTCCTTTAAATTAATTGATTTACTTTTTAATATTTTACTACATTTATTCTTTTTGTTGAGGAAGCAGCGGCTCATTTCCCGTTGAAGCTCTTGTAGCCGCCGTCCCCACGCCGTTATATAAGACCCCGAGCCTCACGAGGACAGACTATTTAGATATTCAATCCGTTAATTCCTTGTATTTTTTAAGGTTTGTTTACACCTTTTAATTTTATAAACTTTTCTGCATTTACAGAGTCCTCTTGTCGTCCATTTGTCCAGCAAATGTCCTGTGTGTACACAGAGGTGGCGTATATATTCCCCGCGGTCGTCTTTTTTTTGTCTTTATTGTTCCTCCTTGTTGGCTCAATATACCTTCTAATGCGGATATCTTTCTTTCTATGACTATTTTCTTTCTTTAATGAATCTTTTTCTTCTTGCGTGTGCTGCATTTACAGTTATTTCTTTCTGTGTTTCTTAATTAATTACTATTGGGTCTTAAAGAATAGGGTATTTACTATATTATAGGGAACAAACCCTTTTACCCCGTTAAATGTCTTATTGTTCCTTTTGTTCCTTTTTCCTCATACAGGCTACTACTGCAAATGCCCGCAGAATTCATCGCCCCCGTCCTACTTGCCAAGGGCGCAGCAGGCGCAGCAGGCGCCAATTTTCTTGGGGGAGCGGGCCAAGCAGCTCTAGCTGGAGGTTTAGGTGCTGCTAATAACTTAATAGGCATGACTCCCATGGGAAGTAAGTTATAAAGAATATATTTATACGTCTTTTCTTTTGTGTTTTTTCTTTTAGTCTATTATTCTGTGCTTTTTTTTCTCCATCTTTTGCTCCCTATCGTGCCCGGTTGGATCCATACATGTATAGGCACCACCGCATATTCATAGAAAGCTACTGCATTGTCTGCCTATTCATGGGAGAAACTGACTCCCTTTTTTAAATAAAATTAATCATTTCTTGTTTATTTAATAAACATGTTATTTAATAAACTATTTTCTGTGTCTTTGTGTGCTGCAGTGGCTGCTGGTGCTATCGGCAATGCTGCAGGTGCCATAGGGCAACAGGCAGCAGCAGCAGGCGCAGCAGGCGCCGCCCCTGACGTAGTAGAGCAAGCTTTATATTTCCTTCCTTTATTTGCTCCTCTTCTTTCTACATTACCACGAAATGTCCGATCAGAGGAGCAAAGAACAATCCGTTTATCTACTGCAGACAGCAGGGGAGCGCGGTATGCAGAATTCTTGTGATCTTTTTTGCTTGTCAGTAGTGTAACTTGTATCTTTATTTATATAAATTATAAATTAAATACAATAAATATAAATTAAATACAATAAATAAAACATAATTGTATTTTATGCAAAGAAAGAGAGAGATATATAAGGAAAGAAGAGGTTCAATACACCTTTCTCTTCCTTTTACTCTTTCTTTCTTCCCTCCTCCCTTCCGCCAATATATAGACTAGCAGCAGCAGCAGCACGAATACCTTAGAGTGCTCGTGCTGCTGCTGCTGCGTCTATCTTCCCCTCTCCTTCCTGTTTCTTGCTGTGTTAATAGAGGGAAACAGAAGGCCAATTCGCTTCTTTTTGCTCCTTAAGGCCTTTTGTTTCCTTCACAAGACGTCAGCAGCAATGCAACAGCTGCAGCAGCAGCAGTTGCTGCTGCTGCTGCAGCAGCAGCAGCAGCAAAGCAGCAAAGAGAGGCATTAAAGGCGCATATACTTCGTTGTGTCGCCTTCCGACCTCGGGTAATCATAGACACCCGAGTTTAACGTTTCCTTCCGCCAGTAAATAGCTAATAAATATAAATTAAATAGTATTTAGGGTTTAGGGTTTAGGGTTTAGGGTTTATGCAGGAATAAAATAGACAAAGAGGCAGAAAGGATTGTTAGTAAACCCTAACGATGTAGTCGGCAATACGCGCATTATTCAACTATGGAGGGTCTAGGGTTTAGATATCTAAACCCTAAACCCTAAATACTTCATCTAAGACATAAAATGCATGCAAATAAAGAAAATATTCCCTTTTTTGCTTATTATTACCTTTATTATTGTATAAGAAGGGAATAACACATTTCCTCCTCTTGCCTGCGCTAACTTGTATAGGTAATCCATCAGCAGGAGTTGCTGCCTTAGTGGCTGTCAAGACCTATAACTACATCATTCATGATTAATATTAATGTTTTCCTGTTAATTAAAGTATATTTCTCTCATAAAATAGAGAATTATAGGAGAAAAGAAGAAAAAAAACAATGGTTGTTGTTCTTTCTTCTTATAGACACAAAGACTGTTGCTTATGCTCATTCAATGTTTCCTTGCTAGCAGACAGAGGGAGCACGCATGAATAGAGAAATAGCAACAATTAACTGCATGCAGCTTTTTTTCTTTTGTTTCTGTTATATTAAGAGATAATTAAAAGATAATTATAATAAATTACTTTGTTGCAGTTGCTGTTGCTAACGAATCGCTGGTTAGGTCTGTATAGTAGTAACTGTATCTATCTATAGGCCGGTGGTGCAGAGAAGGAAGGAAATGAACTATATACTCTTAATTGTTCTAATTATACATTTATTCTTAATAATTATTGTTTTTTATTCTTTTTATCAATTTATATAATGCGTCTTATTGACGAGGGCCTCCTGTCTGTTTACTATAAAGGGGAGGCATACTAATAAATGGTGGGGGGGCCTTATATATAAGGCAAGGCTAGGGTTCTAATCTAGCGGTAGGTCCTTGCATGTTGTGCTCTTTTCTTTCTTATTCTTGATTAAAAAAGAAATAAAGTATATTTTATATTATATATTATATAAATGATGAAGAATTAAGGGAGAACTCTTATATATATTACCGATTTCATGGCATTTATTCCTCTTCTTCTTCTATAGCGGGTGCGCATGTTCTATGGGTATCGATATCCGTTTCTTTCTTTTCTCTCTTATTTATTGAATAATATTATCTTTTTTGTTATTTAATACAATAATTTTATTTAATAATTCATAAGTATGGGCAGCTACGCCCATACATTGCGTATATGCATGTCTGCCGGCTGCCGCCAAGTCGCTGTCGCGAGTCAAGGCAGCCTCTTCCTTTCTTATTCGTCACTAGGTTAGAGTTGAGCATCTGCTGCTGAGGTGTATATACACCTGAATATACACGTTAATTATAAGGAGTAGGCAGGATGCCGCTGCTTACCTCCTTGGCCTTTGCGCCTGTCCTCCTCAAGACCGGAGGGGCAACACTGGTAGCAACAGGCGGTAGTACATCTTTAGCTGCAACAACAACTGCAGCAGCAGCAGGAGGAGGAGCAGCAGCAGCAGGAGGGAAGGTCCTTGGTATAGCTATGTTAACAAAAGGTGTATCTAGTGCAGCAAAGAGCGGTGCCTTCACCAAAGTTGGCGGCAGCAGCGCAGCAGCAGCAGGACATGCATTCCTTTCTACAAGTCATTCAGCAGGAGCAGGTGCTGCTGCTGCAGCACCAGCTGCTGCAGTACCAGCTGGTGCAGTACCATCAGCAACAGCAGCAGGAGCAGGAGCAGCAACAGCTGCCCCAGTGTCATCAACAACCCTTGCTGCAGCAGGTTCAGCAGCAGCAACAGCAGCAGCAGCCCCATTAATAATGGCGGCTGCCCCTGGTTCAGATGCCGCAGTTGGTGCAGCAACAGGAGCAATACCTGCAGCAACAGCAACAGCAGCAGCAGGTGCAGCAGGTGCAGCAGCAGGAGGAGGAGGAGGAGGAATTGCTGCAGCAGCAGCAAACCATGCAAAACATTTTACTATGATAGCAACAGTAGTAGGTATAATGGCATTAAGAGCAATAATAAATAAATATTGGTTATCTTCCCCTTCTTCTTCCTCCTCTTCCTCTTCCTCCTCTTCTTCTTCCTCCTCCTCTCCTTTTTCTTTTATTAATAATAAAAAAAATAAATTAATAAGAAGAGTAACTAGATGGTCTAAGGAAGAACAAATACAAGTAGAGGTAGAGGTCGAAGAATTTGGCCAAATTCCTCAGCTACCTTTTAAGGATGAGGGAGGCAGCAGCAGCAGCAGCAGCAGCAGCAGCAGCAGCAATAATAATAATAATAATAATAATAATAATAATGTTGTTATTGTTGAGGCGGGTACAGGTGCTGCTGCTGGTGAGGGAGATGCTGCTGCTGGTGGTGCTGCTGCATCTGCAGCAGCAGCAGCAGCAGCAGAAGCAGCAGAAGGACGCAGCAAAGTATCTGCTGCAGCAAGAACAGATGCAGGACTAACAGATATAGAGACAACAGCATCTACACAAGAAACAAGAACAAGAAAAATAACTTATATAAGAAGAACAAGAGGAAAATTACATAGATTCCTCTAATATAAATAGCAGCAGCAACAGCAGCAGCAGCAGCAGCAGCAGCTGCTGCTGCTGCTGCAGTACAACTTTTTAAGAATTTTCTTTATTCCGACTATTTGAAGAACAAATAAATGAAGCCTCTTGGGTCGCTGCTCCACCTGCTGCTGCTGCTGCAGCAGCAGCAGCAGCAGCTGCTGCTGCTGCTGCTCCTAAGAAGCAGCAAACAGGAAGCAGCAGCAGCAGCAGCAGCAGCAGAAGCCAAGAAAAGTGCTCATTTATCATCATTCACCCTGCAGGGGAGGGAATGATGAGTAATACTACCGAACATCTAAGGGGTATACACCCTTATATATATATATAT